CCCCCTCCCCCACGACCCCCTCCCTCAATTCTCCATCCCCTTCCTTCCCGGTCTCGGAGGACCCCGTCCTAACCCGACCTGTCTCGGCCTGGAACTTTTGCGAAGCCGTCGGTGCCTCTCCCCGTCCATGTGGGCCCCCGCAGGCTGCCCACGCCTGTCCCCCAGGTCCCCGCTCCGCTGGGCTTTCCCCTCGCCGGGGGTGGCTTTCTGAGCTGCCCGCTCCGTGTCCCTCCCTGCAGCCTCTCCTGCCACTCGGGGCCCCCGTTCCCCCTCCCGGCGGCGGGGGGCTGCCCCCGGGGGGCTGGCGGAGCTGGGCCGCGGGGGCCCCGGGGCCGGCGGTGCCGGGGTCATCGGGATGATGCGGACGCAGTGTCTGCTGGGGCTGCGCACGTTCGTGGCCTTCGCCGCCAAGCTCTGGAGCTTCTTCATTTACCTTTTGCGGAGGCAGATCCGCACGGTGAGCCTGGGTGGTCGCTGGTGACGGTAGGGACCTCTGGCCGCGGTGCCTACAGGCTTTCGCAAAGTGGTGGGCCTCTCTTTGGGCCTAGGAAGGCAGTCCTGTCGGGACCTTCTCTTGCTAGAGAATTAGGGCACCTTGAGCTGGCCATGGGTGGGGTGGGGAGGAGGGAGACCGTGGTAGTAGAGCATGGATTTGGGGGACTTTGATGGGCATAGACGGGGACAGGATTTAGCAGCTCTTGGGGGCTAGGGTGGTGGGTGGGGCGCTCTTTAAGAAAGCTGAAGTTGTTGCTAAAGAAACCAAGAGGCGGGGAACACCTGTTTGATGGCAGCCAGGTCTGTTCATGCGGGTTTGTGAAAGGCTATCTTATTGGGAATCTCTGTGAATTTGGTCTTATTACAAGGGCGAGACAAGCTTACGTGTCAAGGGTGGGGGTGGGTGAGAGGGCATGTGTGACAAACAAGGATGGGAACTCGGGAAAAGCCTTGGGTATGAAGGAGAAACTCTTGTATTAAGGGAACTCCTTCAAAAAGGCCCTGGAACTCAATTCATAGTGTGAGTGTGGGTGTCTGGATTTATTGAGACCCCGGGAGTATACAAGATGCCTTTATGATAGGCTTATTTAGGTGTGGGAGGAAGCACATTCAGGTTTGGGTGCCCTTATCAGAAGAAGCTGTTTGTCAGTTGTCGGAGTTGAATCTGAGGGCACGCTTGTTTCTCCAGGAGACCCCAGCATTGCGAGGAACACTGGGGAGTGGAGACTGTGTGGATACACCCAAGCATCTTTGTCCCCTCCCCCATACCTTTTCTCTAAGGTCAAAGATCCTTAGGCTAACATCATTTAACGAATGTGCTCTTGTGTTCTCATCACCACTGGGGAGAATTCTCTGAAGGAATCTGGGGAAAATTCAGCGAGCTGGGGCATACCTCAATAAAAGGTGAAAGACTAAAACCAGGTAGGGCCTGCCCAGGTCAAGGGAATTTCTAGAAAGCCCTGGGTGGTAGTGGTGGTTGACTTCTTGATTAGGGAGAATGGTCCTGGCCTTTGATTCATTCTCTCCTTTACAAGTCCGCTCCTTCCACTCCCTGATTTAGGATGAGGTTTGTTCTGGTTGGTCAAGGTTGTAGCTAGGGCTATTCCGCTGAGACAGAGCTAGAAGCCAAGAGGAATTGGGGGTCAGAGGTGCTGAGATGTGTGGAACTAGCTCCTGGGGTTTTCTTCCTGTGCTAGCTGTCAGCCTCTCTGAGCAGTCATTTGGTATCACCCCCTGGGCCCTTCTCCCAACACATCGGTTTTCTGCTCTAGGTGTGGAGAGTAGTGCTCCAACCCATCCAGAGGCTACTTATTTCCAAAACTGCTGTCCTTTGGCCAGCACTGACCCCACAGCCTTTTGTCTTCCCTTTCAATCTGCTTTCTCCCCAACCCCCTTTTGGCAGATGCTTGGAGCATTCCCTGCATGCCCAGCATGTGCAACCTGAGATAGCAGAGCAGGACACCCGAGCTGTTTCAGCCCTCATCATGGCCTAGGGAGAAAAGAAGGGCAGATGCCTTGGGATTAGGGGGAAGAGGGCCCTTTGGTTTTCAGCATGGGGAGCCTGTTTCTGGTGAGACTTGGGGCCTAGGGGTGGACAGAAGAGCATTTGTCTGTGCCTTAGAAGAAAAGAGGGAGGAGGGAATTGCTAAGCTTTGCATGGGGAGATCTGGGTGTTAGGAAATAGGAGCCCCAGGAGAAGGCTTGGAGAAGCAGGGCTGGAAGGCTGAGGTGGTGACATCCTTGTCCCTGCCTCACCTCTCACAGCTCTTACTTCACCCTGGCCTTCTCCATACCATCAGCTGGCCTGGAAAGTGGGGCTTTCCAGTGTTCTCTGCCTTGCCCAGGGTACCTGGATAGGAGGCTGTTCAGAGGGCTGAGGTTCTCTGCAACTTGTGACTTGGCTGATAGAGACAGAAGTGGACAGGTGGTTGGTTAAAATAGGCCTGGTGGCCCCTAGCCAGAGGAACTTAGTTGACCTGACAACCTCTGGATTCCCTCATCTTCCATTCCCCTCAGGGATCCAGGGTCTCCCCTCCAGACCCCTAGTCTACTGAGAAATATGAGGTTCTCAGATCCCAACTTGAGAGGATGGAAGTTGCCACAAGGAATCATTGGCGAATGGTTGTGTGTTGAGTGTAGCAGGATAATATCATGCTTAAGAGGGCAGGTTCTTGGTTAGACTTCATGGGTACAATCCTGGCTCCCCCACTTCATTGATTGTACTAATATGTAGTGACCACCCCTCTACACTTTTCTTGTTGTTAGTTGCTGTTGAGTCCCTTCTGACTTATGGTGACCCCATGTGTGCGGAGTGAACTGCTCCGTAGGGTTTTCAAGGCTGTTACCTTCTGGAAGCAGATCTGTAGGCCTGTCTTCTGAGGCGCCTCTATGTGGTTTCGAACTGTCAACCTTTTGGTTAGCAGCCCAGCACTTAACTGTTTGCACCATCCGGGGACTCCTGCTACACTGACTGGGAATACAGCCATGATCAAGGCGAAGATCCATATTTTCATTCTAATCGGGGAGACAAATAATTTCTAGCTGTGTGACCTCAGGCAAGGCATTTAACTTCTCCAAGCCTCAGTTTCATCTTTAAAACAGGGATGATAATAACATTACTATTAGGGTTGTTTTGAGGATTAAATAATCCTAAGTCACTTACACAGCACCTGGCATATGGCAAATGCTCAATGTTCCTTACCTGTACTTGTTACTAGGAGTCCCTGGGTGGCACAGATGGCTAAGCACTAATCGATAGGTTGGCAGTTTGAATCCACCCAGAGGTGCCTTGGAAGAAAGCCCAGGTGATCTACTACTGAAAGATCACAGCCATTGAAAACCCTATGGAGTGCAGTTCTACTCTAAAACACATGGGAGTGCCATGAGTTGGAATCAACTTGACAGCAACTGTTTTTCTGTTGTTGTTACTGGGGAAGATTTCCTTGTCAAGGGCCTAATCCTCTCCTTGTTATTCTTAGGTAATCCAGTACCAAACTGTTCGATATGATATCCTTCCTTTATCTCCCGTGTCCCGGAATCGGCTAGGTGAGTCTGTTGGCTGGGAAGACTCCTTTAAGGTGAAGACGGGTCCAAGCTCTGGGCTGGAGGGTGCTTGGTGTTATCCCTTCTCTTTGTGGTTCAGGCCAGGTGAAGAGGAAGATCCTGGTACTGGATCTGGATGAGACACTTATTCACTCCCACCATGATGGGGTTCTGAGGCCCACAGTCCGGCCTGGAACACCTCCTGACTTCATCCTGAAGGTATGTTGGGGTGTCTGTTACTCTGCTCACAGGTAGATTCTCTTTCCCATCCCAGAGCGTCTCCTCCCCATCCCCTGGCACCAGCATCAGCCTAACAGGAGGGAGGCAGGCAGCTGTTGGTGGGGGCGGGGGGTGGTCCTCTAGGCCTGTGTTGTGGTGCTCAGGATTTCTCCCACCCTTCTCTGTACCTCTCTAGGTGGTAATAGACAAACATCCCGTCCGGTTTTTTGTACATAAGAGGCCTCATGTGGATTTCTTCTTAGAAGTGGTGAGTTTGCAGGAGCTAAAGGGAACTCTGGGATGAAGGAATGGTTTTAGAGCTCCGGGAATTTAGGAAGCTTGGAGGAAGTAAGGGTGAAGAGAAAGGGGTAAGGGAAGTTTTGGAGAGGGGAGGCTGTGGGATGATAGAGGAATGGCTTTCAGTGTTAGTTGATTTGTTGTGCTGATGTAATTCCATTAATCAACAGGCATCCTGCTCTTTTG